CTAGGTAGCCTAACCTAGGAAATGTGTTGCGCTCACTCGGTGAATATCAGAAGGCCAGAGAATATTACGAGAAAGCACTTGCCATCAGCATGGAAATTGGTGATAAGGAAGGAGAAGCAGGATGCATCGGAGGCCTAGGAAATGTGTTAAGCTCACTCGGTGAATATCAGAAGGCCAGAGAATATTACGAGAAAGCACTTGCCATCAGCATGGAAATTGGTGATAAGGAACGAGAAGCAGGATGCATCGGAGGCCTAGGAAATGTGTTAAGCTCACTCGGTGAATATCAGAAGGCCAGAGAATATTACGAGAAAGCACTTGCGATCAGCATTGAAATTGGTGATAAGGAAGGAGAGGCAGTATGCATCAGTAACCTAGGAAATGTGTTGCGCGCACTCGGTGAATATCAGAAGGCCAGAGAATATTACGAGGAAGCACTTGCCATCAGCATAGAAATTGGTGATAAGAGCTCCGAGGCAAAAGTGTTGTTAAACCTAGGAGATATGTTTGAAAAGCTCGGAGAATATCAGAAGGCAAAGGAGTATATGGAGAAAGCACTCGCCATCTCAGTAGTATCTGGCAGTAAATCAGAACAATTAGCAGGTTTTGTGTACCTTGGATCTACTCATGTTGAGCTCAGAAAATGTTTGAAAGCTAAAGAATATGGCGAGAAAGCACTTTCTATTGCCACAGAAATCGGAGAGCAAGGACGTCAAGCAGAAGCATTAGTGATCCTCGGCCAAGTGTCTGATTATCTTAATGATCATGTGATGGCCAAAAAATATTACGAGAAGCAACTTGCTATCAGCATTAAAATTGGCAACAGATTGCTGGTAGAACATAGCTACCAAAGCTTAGCAAGACTCTTCCTAAGTATTGGCGAATATGACAAAGCCGACGAATACCTTGAGAAAGCCCGCGTGATGATTTGTGACGTCGGAGAAACACGCAGTGAGTTTTACTGCCTACTCTGCCTGTCCATCCTGAGGATAAAGCAATCAAGGATCTCGGAAGCACTTTCGCATCTTTATCAGTGTATTTCTAAATATGAAAAATTGCGAGATTTTCAACATGGAAATGAACAGTTTCAACAAGGTCTTTTAGAAACTCACGGAGCCGAAGCTTACGAGTCGCTCAGTGAATTGCTATGTTCTACGGGAAATCTTC